GCCCATGCGACTTGTCATGCCAAGCCCAGCAGGGAGCAGAAAAACTTGATCGATTGCCATTCTGCAGAGTACATTACGCTCGCCACTATTTAGCCTTTCTTACGAGGACCACATCATAGAAGATCCGAATCGATTCCAAACCCTCCAGTGTCTTTTGGTTCAACAAGAGCTCAGCACCTAGAGCTATTTGCCCAGATCCGGGTCGTTCTATTCTGCAGAGTCCCTGTTTGAAGCCCCAACACCTTCCTGGCCGAGCAGCAAGTCCCTCTGCTAGTGGACCAATCAGTGCAGTTTCCATCCTGGAGGCAAGCCTGGCAGCAGGCTCCTGCCAGTGTGCGCCGGCAGAGCCACAGTGAATTGAAGTGGTCCAGTGAACTCATTGAATACATGGGATTAGATGATTAATTATTGAATGGAAATTGTGCCAGAGAACAGAATCCATGCTGCTTCGGTTTGCATTCTCCCTGCTTGGGCTGTGTGTTCGAGCTGGAAGTGAAGAATCACTTTCTTGCGTCTCCCATTCAATCTGGTCACAACAAATGGCTCAGCCGCAACTTTTTGGCACGTCACCCACAGGGCGGTTGGTAAACCACCAGGATCTGTGTTCGTTTCTGTGGACAACAAAAGCATTGATCAAACAGTCTGACTGAGACCGAACTGTATTAGTCACCCAGATCACCCAATCTCCAGCGTCCAAGGTCGCTTGTCGGAGCACGTGTCCACCCTGCGTCATGGCGTTGATCGCTACAGAAGAACAACTACTGTGTCGCATGCTTGGTGTTGGGGGACTTGATGAAGCCACAGGTACAACACCTTCAAAAACCAATCATGGAAAGCTTCCCATTGTCCCACGGGGAAGCCCCTGGCATTCGGTTGAAAACTGTGAAAACCAGGATCTCTGGCCAACAGAAATCCGGCAGGGCATTGGATTCCATGTCTTTCTGCAATTTGTGTTTGCATTTAGAATAGGGAAAGCCCGGCCCCCCAAAGCCCCCCTGGAAGAGGAAAATAGACCAAAACCCTTTTGGTGGCGGGGTCCACATACAAACCCATGCTATGTCCAAGGGGGGATACCAGCTCGCACCCCAGCTGATTCGGCCATCACAACAAAATGAGAAAGCGCATCTTTTACAATGTCAGAAGGAAACACAACATACACAAGTGCTCCTGCCATCCCAAGATCAGCTTTCCACTCGGTCAGGGACCAAAAATGGATGGTGAACTTATACACATGTGTGTCCATCTACCCTTCGGCTGCAACCCCCACCCACAGACCTCCACCAAGCACCACATGCAACCCCACCTGCGGCCGCTGCCCTTTCAGCGCCCTGCAGCGCCCCAGCGGCTCTGTCTGTGTGAGCAGCGCGCCGCGGGCGTCGCGCAGCTGCAAAAGACCTCGCCCGGGCTGGGAGAGCGAGCTTCGCCCGCTGTAGAGGTGGTGAAGGACCTTCAGTCACGTCTCATTCCTCATGGGCCATGTTTGTTGGGAGGGTGTATGACTCATGCACGGTGTAGCTACAGTTTCACGTGCTTTGAAAGGGCCAAAATTGAAAAGGAGGAAAACGATAAGGACGGTAACCATGACCAAACAAGTCTGACGACAGTCTTCACAACCATAGGACCATAGGCACATCCCGTATGTGCCAAACAAGGCTCCACCAACACCGCACCAAACTCTGGCCTAATCCAAAACAACATGTGTCCTCCTTGCCTGCCGCCCCTCAAATCCAATCAATACTTGCAAAATGGACCTTGTGAATTGCTTCCGAAACTGTTCCTCTAAAGCGCCGGTAGTCAAGGATAAAACATGAGAGATTCCAGGCTCTGTTCTCTTGAAGATCCCCAGAGGTCTTGAATAACTTCTCTACCGCGTGATCCCAACACGTCACTCAGCTGCGTTCTTCTGCGGTCGATGTGCCTTGCTTGGAGAGCGCCAGCGAGCCCAGCTCCGGTACAGCGATGCCCTGCGGACAAGACGTGTTGTAGAAAAGAAAGGACCAAAAGAAGGTGGACTTCCCCCCCCCCCAGTTAAGTTTAAAGGGGGCTGTGTAAAGGAACCCAAGTCCACCCTTTGTGTTCCTTCTTTCCTAAGCAATCCAAATGAGAGCCTTGTGATGAACTCAGGTACTGGACACTGAGCGAAAATGAGTAGAGTTTGTCTCGGCACATGGTGAAGCCTCTTTTTTGCTGGTATTTATTGACGGTAGGGGATTTGAACAAATATAACGTGCTCAAAAAAAGCGCAACAGCGCAATTTCTTCTTCGGTACTTGTCATCTATTGATTACTTGTCGGCCACAATATTGGGGGGAAAGACTTGACCGCTGAAGAAGATTGGTTGATGTTCAAGGGTGTGTGATCCTTCCTTCCGATTTTGGGGGTTGGCTTGCACTTTGTCTCACAGCTAGAATCAAACTCCTGCCTCCCCGTCTGCTGAGGAGACAACATGAAATGCTGCATCGGGGTCAGCTGGAGAAACCTGTCGCACGCAGTCGGGGTCAGCCCTTGAACCGTCTGGAACTGCAAAGTTCACCGAACTCAAATCCAATCCCACACAAGCAAACAAACAAAGTCACAAAGGAAGACTCGAGTGTGCTATCTGCATTAGTATCATGCATTATCTGCAGGTCGCTTGGCCACCTGGTTTTTGCAGGGGCATGGTCTTCTGTCTCTTCTGTCTGAGCTATATGTACAATGAAATCAGTTGAATCCATGCCTTGTGTTGTTTGCATAAAAGATTCACAAGTTTGCTCAAAAAAAATATAGCTAAAGGCTCCCTACATCTGCACGTAAAATAGAAGATCCTGTCCTACAAGTCAGGCCATGCTCCCCCAACTGTCGCATTCTGTAGCAAGAAGAACGGAAGGACCTGATAGGACAATCTGAGTAAAATACGTACAACCAGCAGGATGGCCAGGCCACAGACGAAAGCAAGCTTTTTCACCGACCAAAGGGCTTAACATGGCCCAACTAACGAGATGTCACGGATCAAAACATCACAGGATCGGTCTGATTCCTCACCCGGAGCCACCGACACTGGTCGGATCCACTCGCCTCTCGAATGTCTTCGCCACCCGGTGGCCACCGCACTCGCAGGCTGCGTCCTCTGGTCGAGAGGCCCAAGCGACCTCGTCAAGGGAGATGAAGCGAAGAGGCAAAGAGATGCTGCCACCCAACAGATGCTCAAGCCAGCGAGTCACAACAGGTGACAAATTATCCTGAGAGATGTTGAGCCAAAGAAGAGTGCCGGATAGTAAACCTTGGAAGATTACCAATCCAACAGTCAGCGAGTGATGTTCCCTCCTCAACTGCCCTCGAGCACCCTGGCCACCATCCGGCAGCTCCAGCACGTGCTCTTTCCAGGCACCAGCAACCTCCACAAACACTGATGCGTTCCTTATTTGAGTCCATTTCTGATGAACCAACAATGGGAATTCTTCTTGCTGTGTCCCTTCTACTAGAGTCACCATGCAGTGTGTACAGTCTTTCACAAGTGAATTTCACAAGCTGGTGAGACACAAAACCCAGAATGAACCCGGTACTTCCTGTGACCTTCGTGCAAAAAAGAAGTAACATCAGGCCTGTGGCAAAAGAAACCACATCACCATAGCCCGGACCATGGCTCCTCTTTGATGAGCCCTTTGGGTGCATTCAGTTTGCTCAGGCTCTGTCTTACATGCTGTGACACCCAGGTGTCACTTGGGTTTCACAGCAACAATGGCTGAGACTTTCTAATGAGGCTTCATGGCCCCATCTGGCAGAAATGCCAAAAATGCATAGATTCTCGGGTGAGATGTTTTGCTCGTGTTTTTCCCATTCGGCTGGGAGCAGTCCAGTCAAGAGCTACTTAACCAAACAACAGGAAAACGTGTAAAACTTTGAGCATGTCATCCCAAAAGCTCTTCTTTGGAATTGGTTTCCCTGTTCTGTTGCTTGTGTTGCCAGACATGAATTGTCATGGCGTGCTTCACCATCTGACGCCTCACGAAAAACATCTGTCCATCCAAGCCACCGGAGGAGTTTCGGGGGCCAGTTTTCCAGTTCAGTAAGCAGATAAGGCTGCAAAGGTCGAGCGGTCAGGGCAAGGTGTTAGCAACTTGAGGTTCAAAAGAATGTGTGAACACCTCAAAAGAATGTGAGCTATAGTTTCAGTGCTCTTGATGCAGCGAAATGCCACAGCTAATGTGATGCCAAATCCATGTTCGCCAATCAACATCCATCCATGTTCACAGGTGAGAAAAAGGTGTGCTTTTGGCAGTTCACCAGGTCAAAAGCAAGCCTCGCGCTTCGACCCGAAAACGAGGACAGCGCTCCGCCACGGAGGCAAACAGCCGCTTCGCCGCTTCGCCTGCCCATTGCTGGCGCTCGATGGAGCACCTGCAGGCTATGCCAAGGCAGGTCGTCTCAGGCTGGTCTTCTAGTAGCGATGGCCTCCACCTAATACCTTCTAGTTACTGGTAGCTTCTTGTTATCTGTTGCAAGAACTTCGACCAGGCTTGTTCTGTTGGTTGAAGCAGCGCAAGCCTCCCTCTCTATGAAGGGACGAAATCCCATGATCGCATTCTCGCAGTCTCACCGGTACTAAACTAAACAAGCATTTGTGAAAGTGATGATCCAAATTTATCCAACAACCAGCTAGCGCGGTGAGCACTTCTTGTTTCAAGCTCTCATGGGCGAGCAAGTGCGGTATGTCCTTGATCCATTTGTTGCAGCTCTTCTGTGATCAGGCCATCTTCGTCTTCGCCATCACATACAATCCACAGATGGAAGCCACCTCCGCCAGATGGGAATGAATTGCCCGCGAGGTGCAGCGTGTTCCCAGGTGTTCCATCTGTTTACGCTGTACAAAGATTATCTTGCCATCCTACAGTTCAACACTTCATCCCTTCAACACCGCTACGCGCCGCACAGTGGCCACTACGCACAAAAGAAAAACGGCAGCCTTGAGATCACACCTTCGCTGGGCCGGCAGCAAACAGCACCAAACGGCATTTGCTGCGGTCAAGTCAAAGCGAGTCCTGCATCCTTGAGTGCCTTGCGACTGCAACGACGACTGGTACGACTGGCCAACAAAATCTCCTTGAGCATCATAGGAGATGGATAGATATCTTCTATGGTTCTGCAAAGAGCCACCCAGCGTTCGAATTAATCAAACTCCCCTACCGAGTCCAGAATTAGATTTCTGGAATTAATCTCATCTCAACATTTGCTGGTGAGGGTGGCACTTGAGAAGGTGAACACCAATTCACATCAGAAGTTGCAATTTTGTGATATTCAGATAAGTTGAGATTTGATGAGATGTGCTTGAAAACACCTAAACAAAACAGAGAGTTATCCAGACCTGACACACCTAACAATTAATTTTCTGCATTTGCGTGCTCAAACAGAAATGAGGAAGACAATCAAACATGATCCAACAAACAAACAGAATACAAGGAGGAAAGAGAAGGAATACCATTCATATTCATGATGGTGGGTCAGTTGTCAACGTGTCCTTGATTTGTGGCTGCTTTTTGTGTTGCACATTTCAAGCAGGATAAATAAGAAGAAACTATTTAACTCAAGGTACCCCAATCAAGTAACCCGTTCGACCCACCGGTCAGGATTAATTTTGCATATCAACTCGATTAATTTGCTTATAAGTTATTGTGTTCATTCATCTGCACCCCTTACAAAGGGTCAATTAATTTGCCTACCCCACCTCAATTAATAGATTAGTTAATTGAGCAGGGCCCCCGGGGGGGACGGTGTTATTTCTGCAAAGAACTGATCAACACTGAATTGCAGATTGGTCAGGGCCTTAAACCTTCAGCATCTTCTTTCCGAAAAAAATGTAAAAAAAGATCTGCTGGGAAGAAAGTCCACCAGCAAGCTCGGGGGCCATTGGAGATCTTGGTGGATTTCCACGAAATCTAGTGAACATCCAATAGATCCATAAAGTGGCCCAAATCCAACAGTAAATCCACCAGATCAGATTGGAGGCCATCCCTACTAAGGTTGGAGGCCATTGCTATTAGGTTGCAGGCCATCCCTATTGGGTTAAAGGCCATCGCCATTAGGTTGGAGGCCATCGCTATTAGGTTGGAGGCCATCGCTATTAGGTTGGAGGCCATTGCTATTAGGTTCGAGGCCATTGCTAGTGGATTGGTTCATCGACAAATCAGCACTCTGCATTACATCCGCATTGCTCCGCTTTGGACGCCTGGGCAAGTTCTCCAGGCTGGGCCTTTCGTGCATCGTAGTGAACCACGGCAAAGCCCAGAGCAGCGGCTGCTGCCACGTTTTCAGCCTGTCAGATCTGTCCAAAAGAACCAGCTCATTGAGGAACTGAGTCAAGGTTCGGGCCAACTGTCAAAAGAATCCTTCTACAATCTTCTATATCGAACGATATTGTGCAGGGTACCATGCTTTGATAAGCTTCGCTTGAATGAATCACTTCCTATCAACCAACCCTCCAGTGATCTAAACCGGCCGATGTGAGGTCTCCCAAAATGCAGTACCACATGGTGCCATCAAAACCAAGCAGGTCAGTTTTCGTGCCCAGCCTTATCATCCACAAAGACACAGTCAGCTGCAGTCAAGCCTGACAAACGCTATGAGGTCAGAAAGCCAAGTACTTCGTCCCACAAGGCCTTAGAAGTTACCCAAAAGTGTTTTCTGTAAAGCTGGGTTCCCAAAAACAGGTCCCCCAGTCCCCCGCTGTCCGGCCACCCCACCCCATAGCACGACTTGCCCCTAGTAGCTTCTTGTTCCTAGTTGCGATGCCAGGAGCCCCCAGTAGCGTCCTTGGCCTGGATGCAAACGCCCCAGTCGTTCCAAGAACAGCTCGAAGATGCGATGTCCAGGCTTGGAGCAAGCGACCTCTTTCTCCCGAAGCGAGGTCGGGAGCGCCAGGAAGCGAGGTCACGATCTTCTACAAAGGAGATACTCACCTAAAAATCCTCAAACTCATTGTTCCAGAGGGCTTTTGCACAGGAGGTTGATCACAGTTCCATGCCAGGAGGTTGATCACAGTTCCCTCCACCAAAAACGACAGTTCTCAAAAATTGATGAAAATCACTCACCAGACCCCCCTCGGACCTCTGAGCTCACCAAGAGAAGCTCGGGCTCCACCAAATCCTTCAGCACCTCCCCACACTCCTCAAAACGACACTGGAGCCTTCGATGATTCTGTGGAATACTAGTAGGTAGTGCGGAGAAAAAGCATGTCAGGTGGTATTCAAGTAGTATTCTGCATGCCTGGTAGGCCGCCCTTCGGTACTCATGGTGAGACTATGGATGGCAATGAGCAAATGGAAGGATGAACCTGAAACGACGTTGACCGTGAGACGTTCCCAACTTACCCTGTCTTTAAAACCACTTCATGCACAGTATGAAGTAGAAAATAGGAGGTCATAAGACCTAGAATAAACAACCAGCAAGACCATTCAGTTCAGATCTTTTCAAACCAGGAGCCTTCTTCCAAGCATAGCAACTTCCAATTTGCCTCCAATAGAGGTGACAAGTCTCTGGATAGAACCAGAAGGCGAGGTGATTGGAGATCATACCGAGGACCACGTCTTGCTCTTTGGCTTGTCGCAAGACCTCCAAGGTCTCAGGGTAGTAGCCTGGAGGAGAAGGAAACTGTGCCACTCCTTGAGAAACTTATGTTTTTGGTGTCAGTCCTGACTTCTTTGCATTTGTCTGCGCTTTTCGGCCTGTACAAACTGGTTCCACAGATCGGATGAGCCACCCTCCCCGGGTCCTGTTGACCCGCCGGGTTCTTCACACAGCGTGATTCGCCGCTTGGCCCGAGCGCTCTGCAGCTCTCCCTGAACATTTGGAAGGAACTCCACGTTGAGAGACCCCCATCCGAGCGCGCAGAACACCTGTAACCAGCCGAGTCTCTCACTCCAGCTGAGTCTGAGTCCCATGTGCAAGCCACGGGTCGGTCTCCGTAGATCACACATGGCCAAAAGGCTTAGGATTCAGGGTGCTTTCCGCACTTTTGAGCACCAGAGTAGGGACCGAATCCATGTTTTTTTGTCAGCTAAGCATCTGCAAAACATCACATAGCCTGAGATTTCGCTTTCTTTGGATCGCACCCTGTTAAATGAGTTCACCATGTGGGAATTTCCTTAGGCTAGTGAGATATGGAGGCGTCCTACTTTGAGACGATCCCATCTACAGAACTCGCGTTCTTGTGTTTTAGCTGCCTCAGCCTCAGCTGGGCATAGATTGGTCGGTGATCACTACCCGAGGCTTCCTTCGCCCCCTTTGCCAGAAGCTCCCAGTGATCAGAATAGAAGATGCTGTCAACCTGAAACAAACGAAGCAGGCATGCAGTGAAACAGAAATGACATTCCAAGAGAGATCCCCTCCAAGGTAAGCTTGATCTTCATGAAGTGTTCTGATACTTAGAGATCCAAGCAACCCATTCATTCACCGCCAGCTTCAAGCCGCTGTTCAGCAAATGTTGTGGGCCTCTCTCCTCCAAACATAGACAGTCTGTGATGGCATTTGGAGGCTTTGTGAGGGCCCCAAGTAGCTTAAGACTTTGCTAGGGTGCAAGAAAACACTGCCACCAGCAAGGACGGCAGTGAAAATACCACCGCCACCACCACCACCCACAGCAACAACGACCAAGAATATCAAACAAACCAACACCAGCTGTGGTAGTATACAATCAGCAATGATCAGAAGCCTCCATCTGCGCATTGAAATCACCAGTCACCAGGACTGGGCCGTCGCCTGCGACCTGAGGGCCGGGAGAGGTCGTATCGCTCGGCGTTTGTGAAAACGTGAAAACGCCCTGTCAAAAAGTGGCCCTGTCAGGATCAAACTCATCGTTGTGGCAAAGCCAAGCGATCAGACTCTATGGTCCTGGCACAATCCCTCTCTATGAACAAAACGACCTGCCCCCCAAATAACAGACGGCTCACCTTGCGGATGGTCTCGACCATTTTCCGGGCGCCAGCGAAACGGACCTCCTCGTTGCAGGTGTGTTGCTCATCACTGTGAACACACCTTGGCAGAAGTGATCTTCGTTGGTTGAAGATTCAGATCTTCACCCCTTTTGGTGAACAAGAGAGGCATTGTTCAATACGTTTCACAGTGAGATGTTCAGCCCAATCTCATTGGATTTCTCTCCAAGCGGCCAATGCGTATTGAAGTGCCAGAAGTGTGCCTTCTCGCCTTCTCGGAACTCCGCCCAGGTCACGTAGCGTTTGCCCCACTTCCCCGTGGCTTCCAGGTCCTCGTGGCCGCCCCCCACGCTGCGTAGCCGGGCGCCGGACATCACACCCTGGGCAGCCTCGAAGGGAGAGGCCCGCTGTAAGCCCAGAGACTCCAAGACCTCCGGGGAGTCACACTCCTGGCGACAGAGAGAGAGAGAGAGACGTGTTATTTTTGTTCAAAGCCTCCAACTTAACTAATCTAACTATTAAGTAAGGGGCAAACTTGTAGACTTCTTTGCTCCAGACGCTACTGAGACGCTACTACATTTGGACGCAGGAGAACGCAGGAGAGCTCACACTTCTTCAAGGAAGCTCCCCCCGCACGAATGATGTGGTTCCTAGATATTTAGGGAAACTTAGCTTCATAAGTTGTGCCGATGTCCCTTATCGACCTAAGTGCCTCACCCACTGTTCATTTCAGGCTGTGAAGTTCCAGAGAGTTCTTTTTTGAAGGAGGACTGTTTGAAGTTTTTGAACCAGCAAGAAGTTCTTTGGACTGTGGAACGGGAGGTTGGTGGTTGCAGATGCGGTCTTGAAGGAACTCTCTGAGCTGAAGTCGGATTTGTTTTTTCCATGGTTTCCATGCTACAAGGGAAGCAAAAAGGGAAATCTTTTGAGTTCTTGACCATTCGAAGGACGCCCCAAAGACCAAAGTGGTGCTTCTTTCAGCCTTGGCCCTGTTTGACCACATTCAGCCCTCGGGTTCAGCCCCTGCTCCTGGAGGCCGATGGTGTCGGGCTTCAGATTGGACTTGATATTCTCCAGAATACTTTCTCGCTTCCAGGAGTTTTCCGGCCGCCCAAAAGCATTCCACCAATAGAGGTTGTAGGAAACCACTCTCAACGTGAATCCAGCATTTGCCGTCCCTCCACAGGTGGCTTTGAAGAAGCTCTGGCAGTCTCCATTCCGTGTGGTAGGCTCCTCGCCTGTGAGGTTTTGCTTCTTTAAGAAGCACTGAGCCCAAGTCTGACAAAAAGTGAAGCTCCTGCAATCTTCCTCTCGGTTGCAAGCTCTCTTGCACTCAGCCAGTGTAGCATCCTTCACCGTACCAACACTGCCGCCCTCTTCCTCCACCACCCCATCGAAGGACCCATAGCACGCTGGTCGGATACGTAGCCCCCGTTGCAAGAAAATCGGGCCTTGCTTCGAAGACGAGAAGCACTGCTGTAAGTCGCACGCAGCGACGGAAAACAGAAGGGCTATGATCAAGCCCCACATCTTTGGCTGAACTCTGGAGCCCAAATGGCTCAGGAGAACACACATTGACTCCAAAAATGGCATGGCACTTTGTGCCAAAGAGTTCTTGCGTTGCGCTTATCTCAGGGTTGAAGCAGTATACAGTACTTTCAACAACGACAAGGATGTCCATGGTTCATACCTTTCAAGCCCTGCGCATGGACCAACCCCAAACCTAAACAGTGTATGGGCCCAAGTTTAAGTCTAAAAAGCATCTATTCTAGCACAAGCGAGCATGTTCTGTTCAAAACCAAGATGCCCTTGACACATCAACATTCGCCGCCCTAACCTATTCCGCCTTCAAAAAGGTCTCCGAGCAACCTCCCCCAATCTCTCCGTAAGACGTGAAAACCGACACCGGCCGACACCGGCAACAACGCCTCGCAGCCGCGCGCAGATCTCGGCATCGGCTGCCGCGGTCTTCGCCTCGTCCAGTCCGCTGATGGCAGCACGCGCGAGGCGCCAGAAAGCCTCCTGAAGCCCAGAACCAAGAAGCTACTGGTAGCTCCTGGCATTCCTACTAGTAGCAAGAAGTTACTAGTAACAACGGGTTCCCTAGGGGTGGATAGTGGAAATTGAATCTAGGAGAAGCCTCGACCTTGGGGAGAAAGCCAGGTGGTTGGAGGGTCTATCAACCCAGTGCACTCTGACAGGTCGAAGTTGGGCATTGACAGGGGTGGATCAAAGTCAAAGTGGAGGACAACAAGGGTTGGCCTATGTCTTGTTTCCTACAGAACTACTTTTGGGTTTTTGGTTCTTGATCCACACCCTTTGTGGCAACAAAGCTGATGCACCCACTAACAGCTACTGAGCTACTGAGTCCCTTCTTCCTGACGTTGGATGACCTTGGTAGGCCAGCCATTCGTGGCCCGCCCATGGCCCGCCTTCGTGGCCTCGGGATCCTCTCGCATGGCACTCCACTGGGCCTTGGCCGCTTTGGCGGCGCTCTCCTGCTGCGGCTCCTCGACGCACCGGCGCACCGCCTGAAGAGTCAGCGACCAGTGGATTCAGTGGATTTCCCAGGAACAATGGAACAATGGAACAAGTATCAACCAAAGCCCATTGGTGTCTCTTTCCTTCCAAGTCGACCAAGAAATCCGACCAGGACGTGAAAGCACACCCGCGCCTCCTTAAGCCCACTGTCTGGATGCGTCACACCCCCGCAGTCCACGACCAAGCACCGAGGCATCGAGGGACGCTCGCCCGGTGCTGTGCAAATCGCTTAGAGGGCCATTGGGCGGGGGAATCGCTGGTTGAAGTGGTGAGTGTCAACATGGAGGCCTAAGAATATGAAGCGGGCAACAGCCAAGCCAATCACAAGCTGTTCCATCAACGTGTGACTTCTTCAAACAGCATTTCAGCTAGCTAAATTGGTCCGCCAAAAAGGATCAAACGGGACGGCCCAAAGTGCCTTCTCAAGCCACAGAACTTGCAATGAGCTTCAAATCCATGGTGCCAAGTGAAGCAATAATTATGTTCTCAAAATGGTGCCAAATAAATCACTCTATGCAGTGCTCTTCGCATGAATGCTGCACCTGAACCTCCATAGCCACGTGGGTAGAACTTGACGGCGGCTTCCCTAGCGCAGAACACCATATCAGATTCTGCGGAATCACGGAAGCGTGTTTGGAGAGGCCCACACATGCAGAAGCTTCTCCAAAACCTTGTGAGAATAATTGAACAGCTTCATGGCTTGTTTCATGGACTTAGCTCATCGTGCAAAAATCAGTATCTCAGCTCGTCTCAAAATAAGGTTCATCTATGCATGGCCAGAGTGCTGAATGGAAAATACAGAGCAACCCACCATTCATCAGAATGCTGGAGGGTGTTGTGGCAAATTATCCGAAGATTGTCAGAAAACATGTTTGGCTGGTCGCACCAACATGGACGGGGCCTGTAGTTCCTTTCGAGTCCTACCCACGGCCAAACTCAAACCCGTGATCCCTCACCCCATGCTCTCCATGGTTGGCTTTGGTGCACCACACCTGGCGCAGGCTGCGGATGGACCGACGAACCGTTCACGGTCCGTTGAGACCCACGGCTCGGGAAGAGATTCCAGTTGCACCTGAACAACGTGCAAGTCTGGTCTCTGGCAGTCTGGAGTCCGATTTCAATCCAGCCTGGGGTGTGTGGACATTGGGATAGACGACTGTTGACACGTTTGGCACCCACCCATTTGGGACCGGCTCCGACCCGCCCCACCTGCGGCATGCAGCGTTCCGCGCGAACTGGAGGTCGTTGCAGTTGGGACACTTCCAGTCACCTTGGACGCTCCGGCTGCGCGACATCGGCGAGAAAGCATCGCGGGCGGACCGTTTTGGACCAACGTCCGTACATCGAAGAAAAGCAACATGTACAAGAGAATCTCGTACTGTGGTGTCCTTCGCTTGGGAAAAGTCGGGGGAAAGGGCTCTGAACCCTCAAAGCTGGACCTTTCTGCCTAAGGACCCTCAACCATGCACTCACTCACCCACAATCAGGATTCAAGGACGTGGTAGTGAAGTGCGAATCTGCTCATTGTTCAAATTGAAGGCTTGGTTCCAAGTTCCCATTTCGCTCCATGTTGCTTGCAGTTCTCTCCAAATCCCCAATCCGCCACAAACACATACAGTCTCTACTATACACATCCGGATCCTTAGCATCTGCTCCCTGGCCTGCGCGCGGCTTTTCGTTGTTCCCCATCTTGCCTGAAACTGCTGTTTCAATTGCAGTTAACCAGGATGGATCAATACTGTAGCCTCTGCCTGGAAAAGCACTTGGGTCGAGGAGTCTTTGGTTGCTTTTCTTGTCCCAACGCCTGGGAGACAAAGTGAATCCTGTGTTGAAAAGTAGATTACCATCGACCTTTCAGGTGGCCCAAACTCTCACTTCGGCAAGACCTCGCGTCCAAGTCCCCATCCTTCGTGCATCTCCGGTTTGTCTGAAGGCACCCACTACCAATGGAGCATTTGCTGCCCCCCCGCCTTTTCTCGGCGGGGATGAGGTCAAAGGCTCATCCAGAAAGCCATCCGATCTCATTGCGGCACACCCACCGTGCCCTGGACACGCGGTGTCGGCCACAAGGCCTGCCCAGTGGACAGGTCACGTCCAAAACGGCTGTGTGGTTTCAAGAATGGGGGGGAAACAAAGACCCTTTTGGTAGAATGGTCGGAGAGTCCCAGATACGTGCAAGTCCGAGATGAGTTGCCAGATCTACCAAAGGTCCCCCCAAGGTCCCCCCATGTCGAAGACGATTCCAGCCCCTGTTCTATTGTTCTACTCATCAAACCTCAATGGCACAAGGCTGCACCTCTGGAGTCGGGCCACACTCAACGCTCGGGCTGGGCAAGGTCGCACATAGCAGCAAGCTGCGTTCGCAGAGCACCAGAAATCCGATGAGTTTGGCATTGATCAGTTTGGATGGTTTCCAATATTCCGGCTTTAGCACTTAGGAGCTGCAAAAACGAATTGAGGGCCACATATCTTCACTGATTGCTGACTGTGCTGATTCGGTCACAATCCTGCATCAAGCCATGGGTGCCCTGCTGCGCCAATGTGTCTGAAGAGTATTTTGAGTATGGCTGGCTGCCGCTACTGCAGGACTGTCTACCTCGTTCAAACCATCTGTAATGTTCGAGAAACTGGAAATGCATCTAAGAATCTATGGACACTGGCTGGTAATCTTCCTTTTACAAGGGCGTTCCTGTGCCCTGAGAAGCAAATGGCTTCAAAAACTCACAGTAGTCCACTAGCAAGTCTCATCGCAGGGCCAGTATGTGGTTGCCTGTCCTTGCACCTTGTCCTCTGCAAATGTGCTCTTTTCATGATGCACAGCGCGCATACAAAGGTGCTTGGCAAGTACCAGACCACTCAAGCAATCTGGGTAGGGTGCCAAGAGGCTAGAAATGTTCGTCATGTGCTGCTAGGAAGGTCGACCATAATTTCTCAAGTTCCTAGCTCGAGGTGTAGAGTCCGCTTACATAATGGATCTGCTACACCACATCCCTGCTGGTCTTGAAAACTACAGGCACAACACGACTTCGCATTTTTGGTATTTCTAGTTGCCACCCTTTCTGCTCTACAGCAACCCAGCCACCGATGCTTCACCCTGATACGTAACCTTTCCAGGCCGCCAAGCAGCCCCAAGCATTGCAGTCATCATTTTCTCAGAGTTCCCCTTTTGGGGTGCGGAGCTGCTCGTACGGATGCGCCTGGGTTTGGCCACTATAAACACATGCACTGTCACACGCACCCTCCAATTCGTCCCAATGGCGCCCTGGAAAACTGCTATATAGCGGAGGGTACAAGTATCTCCTGTAGTGGTCCCTGAATGGACAGAAACACGAATCTATTCTCCAGTTTGAAAGTGCTCAAAGCGGAATGATCATCCCATGTATAAATACACTCCTTGCTTGTGTGATGAAACTTGAGCAATTTGAACACCGACATCAAATATACAAGCTGTGACAATTTGGACTTGATGGTTTTGGACAACCTCTCTTTACTCTTGGATTGCGTCAGTGCTGCACCGATACTGTGCAAATCTGTGCAAGGGTTGGAGGAGTGAGGGTGAGCAGTCCTGAACAAACTGAACCCGTTCTTTCTTTTCACATAGACTCTTTGCCCGACCGGCCATCAGGGCCGAACAAAGCAGTCAACGAATCAACCGCCTCACCGCAGGGCCCTTCCACCCAGCCCACTCCACCCAACTCTACCCTGGCCCTTCCACCCAGTTGCAAAGCCGTCTCCTGGCGGAACGGGCTCCGCGAGCGTGGCCAGCCTGTAGCGGCCGGCCAGCGTGGCCAGCTGCGACCGTGCGGGAAGCATCAGAAGCGTGGTGCACGGTTCCCCGAAAAGCTTTTGAGTCACGGAACCGTGAAATCAACCAAGCGAACCCTTAGCCACAGCCTGCAAGGTGCCCCTATCCAAACGAGCAAAACTGCAGCAAAACGCAGATGTTCACAAGAATGAGCTTCTTGAACGCAACCTTCAATCCGAAACCTCGACCCTCTTCAAGGTTTTGAGGTCAAACTTTGGAACAAATATGTCCCGTTCAACTTGATCTTGAAGACTTTCTGCGGTAGTCACGGATCAAAACCCTAGATTGGATCCATGAAAGAAAGTACTGGTGCCTAGACCACCGGGAGTACCCCCCTAACTGCCACTGCATATAGAAACAATTGACACGGCATCCACCTCCTTCTGGACCGGTCTAGCTCTAACCACTGCAAGATCACCACATGCTCCAGGTCATTCCAGATGTCCAGATTCTGGGCTGTTGGACCCACTGATCAGCTGCATTTCCCGCATGGGCAGCTCAAAGTCCAAGGCCGCCAGGTTCTCCGCCACGTGCTGCTTCCTGGACAGATCTAGCAGAGCACACTGGCATCAAATATCTCTTGGCATTACTACAGTGCATCGTTTTGCATGTCCAGATTTACTATGCGTCGGATCTTGCCAAAGATTCCAGTGTTTCTCGATGAGGGACATGCCAAATGAACTCTCCTTTCTTAACACAAGCCCCCCTTGTAGAGCGCACTCAACCTCTTGTCTTTGAACGAGAAGGACCATAAGAGGCAGAATCAACTCCCAGGAGTCCATATTCCAAGTTCCTCTGGCTGTGGAAGACCACTGCTAAGCCCAGCTGCAAAGCCCAGCGGATCAGCACCTACCACCCCAGGGGATCCGAAATGAGCATGACAAAACAGCCATTGGTTCAACAACCGAAAGATCGATTTTCTATTTTTCACAGGTGTGCTGACTATGGAATTGTTGTCCTTAGCCATCCTTGGAACACGGGCTCACCTGACTTAGCAAGACAGTCTCCAACTCCTTCAACCCTGTCACATGGGGCAAACTTACAGGGTTGTTGATGCCTACCCTGAATCATTTCGAAAATGAACTGTTGACATCTCAGAATCTGAAAATTGCATGAAATCTTATTTAAAAATATATAAATCCAATCCTGCTGTTTCTTACGTTCTGCTCAAGGTCCCATGCCTGCGCGGCACTGCGTTTGAAGCGCCGGGCGATGATCAGCACCTCTCAATGAGAGGGACAAATGTCATGGTCACATCCTGCATCCAACCCACTAGCAATGGTCTCCAACCTACAAAAAGAAAGATTGTATCTGATGTACATCTGTGTGTGTGTGAGAGAAATACCCTCAGCCAAACAAAGAGTGGACATTGGGACAAATCACATGGTCCATGATGTCATCTTTGTAGTCGCACCATGTTGATTGCAAAGTGATACATGCCCTTTGGTTGGACGATCGCACTTCAAAGGCTAATCAGGGTTCAACATCGATAAGCTGCTGGCGAGGAGTGGGCAACAAGTTTCTCCAACCGTCAGCTTCATTGCCCTCTGCCTTCTCTCCTGGATCTTGCAGGCCGAACGAACCAACCCGTTCCTTTTTCCTGGATCTTGCAGGACGTCTGGCTTCCTTTGGGATGCAACACTGAGACAAGCTCAGAACCCTACAAGCGAACTCCTCTTGTCCCAGGCACGTGTGGATCTAGCAAAGGAGGCAATGGGCGAGGCCAGTCAGTGAAAAGCCTATGCGGCGCCAAGTGAGCATTGTGTGCAGGGGGTACGGGGTTCTCTATTCGATCCCAGAAAAAGAAAGCACGTCGCTTGCCGTTCCCCCATTTTGAGGCACATGTTTTGCCTCAAGCTGGCTGAGCTGCCCGCCCAGTGGCTGCCAAAGCTACTTCCCGCTGGCCAAATCGCCTGCCCGGCAGCAGGCAAAGGCAGGACGAAACCACACGCATAACATAAAGCTGCAAAATAGATGCTCAATTTTCCGAATTCCTGAAAGAGAAACAAAAAACTGAATTAAGCTCGATGTCTCAAAAGCACAAATTGAATCATAGCAGTATGCATTCGACATGAACCTCCAGGTGTCGCGTCTGGGGCCGTGTCCTGGGGTCGATCATGGCCGTTCCCGGGAGCTTTGGATAGAGTTTGAAGGCCAGGAGCCCCGTTCGTAGCGTCCTTTGCTCGTAATCAATATGTATATATGTATATATAACAGATGTATATAGATATAGACAGGATATATTTATATATCTATAATTATCTATATATGTACTGCATATATGCCCTGCTATTTCTCCTGGGGTCACTGTCATCATGTTCGATGGTTTTGGGTGTTTCACCATTTGAAGGCGATTTGTTCACCATCTAGTGACAAAATGTCAAACGTGAATATGTTCGCTACAAAATCTTCTGTTTCAATGACACCAATCAGTGCTCATTACTGCGGTGCTGCGCGATTGAAGCAAACACAGGTACAACCTTTGAAACCATGGATTTGGGGACGCAGGTCGTCTTTGCAATAGTCATCAACGTAGGTCTTCACGGTTGCCTTCAACCAAGGCCCAAGCCTCAGATGCCCCAACCATGGCGAGGCCCCGGCGGTAGGGTGTGAAGGCCTCGGCGAAACATCCACATGAGGAGTTTGAAGATCGATTCCTGAAGCTGTGTCCCACTTTGTCTTCTTGAAAGTCCGTGCCACATTTATCCAAACTGAATGAGGCGCGCCTCATTCACCACCCTCCAGGACAACATGCTTTCAACCAGCTGTGATCATGAACCGGCAAGAAAAAACCAGCTTCAGCAAATGCCAGCTTGTTGACCTTCCTAGCTAAAGCTTCTGCGTCTTGGCTCAAATGCTCCATCCGAGCTGCGTTACTTCTTTGGCTAAAGTTCAACCTTCTTAGCAAATGTCAGAAAGGTAGCCCGGAAAGTACTTGACAGTATTGCAAGGATAAAGCAATACTGCACAAAGAACATTGAAAGCCCTTCCCACGCAGAATTCCCTCAGGCAAGCAAATGAAAACTCTCCCAGATCTAGTAATCTAGTTTCTAGAGACTCATTCACACGAAGCCTTCGCATAACCAAGCCTCGGGTACACGTGCACAGATCCCACGATATGCCTATCACAAGCCGACTAGGCTTGGACCAGGTGTAGAGCGGAGAACCTTCATATACCTTCACATCTGCTCGACCTCATCCCTGCTTGACCCCTGCTTCCAGCCCAAACAAAATCGGATCCCCCGACGCATTGAGCATATTCCACGCTTTCGCCGTTGCCCGGGAGAAACTCCACCTGCCGTCGCCGGGCTCCGACGCACGTCACGTTCGACAGGGCGAACGACGGGGAGCGGATGAAGCTGAAGTCTGAAAGAGAGATTTGCTTCTAGTAGTAAGGCCAGGAGCCCCTAATAGCGTCCTTGTTCCTAGTAGCGATGCCCTTTGCTCCTGGCAGCGTCTTTGCTCCTACAGAAAGACCACAAAATCTCTTTGTAAGGTGGGGAAGATCTTTCTCGATCCGAGGACTTTTCCGACTTTCCATTGTTGGACACTGTAGGGTATCGCAGTTCCAGAGTTGTACCCTAGCGGTTCCTCAATCCTCGTGGGAAACCTGCTCAATGAACCTAAAGGCTTTGACAAACTTGTACCAAGACCTTCCAGCACAAAGTCCGTCTGTATAAATATGACTATGTATCTTTCTATCTGGACTTCCGTGGTCGCCCCTGTCAAACCTCCTGGATGATGGTCACTAGTGTGAGTACACACAGTGTTTTCACACAGCGAACAAAAAGCATGAAAAACATTCGCCCCGTCAGATGCGCGGACCTCTTCAGGACGGAAGTCCTTGACCCCGAGTGCCTTGAAGCGCTTTCGAGCCTTCAACCTGGCGGACAGGCCCTCCATGAAACACATGGGTCTATCGATTTCACACTTTCGGACGACTCGCAAGACCAAGACGGAGTTGACCACCAAGAACCGAACCAACAGGTTCCATGTTTCTTGACCTGCAAGTACTCCTTACACCAAACAAACACTCAAAATAGTGAGTAGTGAATCTGTAACCTCAAAGCGAAACTTGCACTGGAAGGCTGCTATGGGTGGGCTCCCAAACGCACTGGGATGCGTTGATTGTACATAACAGTCAAGATAAGGACTGATCAACATAGGCTAAAGACAAATATTGAAGTGTGGAGAAAGAAACCGACCAAGTCTCCTTGGTGTGGCTCGATTGTTTTGGCAATGGAAACAAGTGAGGTGGCTCATCCAAGCTCTTCATGTTGCTTTTCCACCAGTAGTAAGGCACCTTGCTATTGGTAGCTTCTTGCTCCTAGTAGAAATGCCCTTGGCTACTAGTAGCTTCTTGCTACTATTCCATAAGCTGAAACTGGCTCTTTGGTCACCAAATACACAAACATCCTCTTCACGAAGAGAGGCGATTTCTACGTGAGAACTTTCTGCAACGACGCTTCTCTCGCAAAATTGCTTGATTCTGACTGCCTGTCCTCCCTTTGCCTGGGAAGTCGGGGGAATCGAGTGTTTCCGGAGCAAACTTGAAAATTGCTTTAGAAGCTGCAAACTGTCCACTTTGCATGCTCCACCGACCCTTCAGCCTCTCTAGGTGCTTCCACCTGTAGCGAGGCTGGCGGCTGAGCTGTTGGGCAGCCAAGCAGCCACTACTCCACATGTTTGATTCCCAAGACTTCCAAAGGGACCGTGCCAAAGTGCTGGGCCGACGTACTTGGTTTGTCTTGTCCTGGTTTCTGCAAAAAAAAACAAAAAGACTTCGTCAGGCCAGTTGCGCTTGCTGGCTTCGAGCAGAAACAGTCTTCGCCAGTTGCTCTCGTCATGTGGAAGCATCGCGCCAGGTCCCGCGCACGCTCTCCAGCTCTGGTGTCTGTGGCAAGATCATCAGGTCGACGAAGCCAAGCCTTAGGAAACTGGCCCATCGGTCCACTTTGAGAAATCGGCATGTGAACTTTGAGATGTGCAGAAAAACCATGCCAACGCTGTGACCGGTCGGATAGGGCTCAGAGAACCGGTCGTGGGTCTGTCCCATAGTGCAGGAAAGCCATGGTTGATGTTGCACCATCGAATGGATTTGAGTGGCATGTACAGCTGGTGTGGCTTTCTAGCTATTTCGTGCGGTTGTAACATTGTGTAGAGGTGGTAGCCAGGAGCGACGCATGACTGCCAAAATGCGGGTTGCGCGGGTTTGCATGGCGTTTGTTACCCTTTCGCAACTGGCTATCGCAGTTTCGTGGCTACAGTTCTGCCTCTTGCAGGCACCAGGCATACTCTATTTGTCCAAACCTTTCGTTGGACCTTTCAGCACAGAGAAGATTAAGACCAACAATGAACAATTCGAAAACATTGCAACATCGCGCGCAAATGGTCTTTGATGCTCACCAGTTCACCAATTCATACCGATGTGCGCTAAAATCGGCGCACCGGTTTCTGGTCTTTTTGTTTTCGCGCCAGATGCTTCCGTCGGATGGTGATGGACTTGACCGAGTCAGGCACCCGTAGGGCTGACGCTGCCCTAAAGAAATCCGCGCGGAAGATTCACAGATGTCGCTTCGTGCTATCGAAAATCAGCTGTTCTGTTGTGTCTGAGAGTAAAACGACCTCGTACATTCAATGTCCAACCATTTGTTGGCTAATCAATTGCTTGTTGGTTGGTGCACGCACTCTTTTGTCTTGCGGGTTGACTTGATGGGCTACTTTTCACCATGGATGTACCTTTCATTCGGCATCCACACCTAACTGTCTTTCTCAACGCATCAAGACCATGAAGCAGCTGAATCAAAGTCCTCAGCTCCCAAAAACATTGCACACCATGACAGCATAGGCCGCTCACATCGCACCCACGTCCGACTGACGTGCCAAAATCTTCATTGTTCGTAGATCCAAACTTGGAGCGATGATCGAGTTTCATCGTTCTTCACTCCCAAGAAGTCGGTGTCCTTCCGTCAGCAGCTTCGTATGGCCCCTGGGGTGAGGGCTGCTCAGTGAGGCTATCGAGCTTCGCCTCGTCTGGGGCGAATCTCGGGATCAGTCACCGAAGATGCCGGAAACCTTTCTACACCAAAGATGCGGGAAATCGGCCAATCATCCGGCAAACAAATGGCAGAAGCTCAGACTTCAGGGTTCTGTCACTTTGGGCGGGGGCTCATGGTGGTGCGTCTTTCTATGTAGTACATTCGAATCGGTTGCTCCAAATTGATCAGGTTAGGCATGATCACTGCAATCTCAGCCACGACTTCGGACTGCCAACAAGGGGCGCTGGTATCGAGGGGCGGCTCCCAGAGCATGGAGATGAAGAGCTCCGAACGAGGGACCTGAAAAAAGACGAACGAGGCTCCCATGCGCAGTACATAGACTACCATAGAGGCTCCCATCTGCCCCAAACGACAGACCTTTGCTTCCCCTCCTCCCTTTCTCATCTTCCTCCCTACTCAGCCTGGCTGAGGCGCACTGCTTGGCCTTAGCAACAAGCCACTTGTTCCACTCCATAGAGTCTCTGTCCTTTGCTCTTAATTCCAAGTGACCCTAGAATTGCAGGTTGGATGCACAAATTCTAGGGTCCAAGGTTGATCAAGTGTTTAGATATATATATATATACACACACCTAACTGCTCTAGTGGTTTTCCACTTACAAGTGAAGCTTTGACTGCCAGCACCTTCCAAAACCCAATGAAAAGTAGGGTCTTGGAAAAGAATGAGCCCTTCACAACCAAAACCAAAACCGGGTTTCTCAGAACCCACAAAGTACAATTTGACGTGAAAATAGCAGAATATGCGAAACGGGATGAATATGAGAAGGGAGGATTCCACTGCACAAATTGGTTTTGAGCGGCTTGCATGTGAAAACACTAGCTTTTCCGAAAAAGATCGTCGTTTTTGGAGGGCTTGCTTGCTCCTGGTGTCCTGGTGATAAATGTTCCCACCGGCTGCGTGTGGACCAAACAGCTTGACCAAGCTTCACCTTGCCGGTCTGAGTGCGCTGGCCCACTGCTTGCACCACGCTGGGAGAGACCTTTGCAGGGCGGATCGACTTTTCTACATCAAAAGCTGTCAGAACCTGGCCCAAGTCATCCGATTCTACACTTCGGTCATCTTCTGTGATGTGAAATGGATGTTAACGCATGTTTTGAACGGCAAGCTGTGATCCTCGCGCACAGCTCACACCAGCCTCTAGTGCATGCCATTCAGATCTTTTCTAAAAGGACTGAAGAGAGCCTACGCTAACCAAGATGGTCACTCTGCCACTGGCCAGCACAAGTAACACATACATACAGTAGTTCAACATACAGTGGCTGGGCGACATGTGAGCAATGTCATGCTGCAATAAACTGCTGATCTGCTGCTTCCACGCCTTGTACACACTGTACATTGAACAGAACACTCATGCCGACAGTCTACAGCCAAACAGCCAACCTTGCACTCCTGTGTTGCAAGTGCCAAAACATGCTATTGTACTGTAGGAAGCTGAGCAGTTGACACCAGAATCCCAGAACATGAAACTGTGTGACCTCCGACTCTTCCGCAACCAACACCGAAAACATCAAACAACAATCGTGGTGACTGGAACCCCCTTGAGGACTGCCACCTTTGGGGCATCACCGTCCGTCGTGTCGCGGGGATAGCGCCTGGAGATGTCGAACCTTGAGCCGCTGACGCGTTCGCCGTTTTGGTCGCCGGGGGGGGGGTTCGGTTCTTTGAGGGTCGACAAAGACCGATGTCTCCAAGTGATCCGTCGCTACTAGGAGCGATCGGACGCTACTAGGGGCTCCTGGCCTTACTACTAGTAACAAGAAGCTACTAG